ATTGTATTGGTGGTGACACAGACCTATACATGTGATAAAGCTTCATACTTATGCATGAAAAAAAGTGCATGTAAAAACTGGTGAATTGGCCCTGGTCGGTGTGGCTCAGTGATAAAGCGTCAGCCCAAGGACCAAAGGGTCTTGGGTTTGATCCCCAGTCAAGGGCACATACCTGGGTTGCAGGTTCATTCCCTGCAGGGAATGTGCAGGAGGCAACCTATCAATGTGTCTCTCTCACATCAATATTTCTCTCTTTCCCTTTCCTGCCCTTTCACTCTCTCTCTCTAAAAAAAAAAAAAAAAAAAAAAACAACAGAAAAAAATATCCTCAGGTGATTAACCAGAAAGAAAGAAAGAAAGAAAGAGAGAGAGACAGAAAGACAGAAAGAAAGAAAGATGGACTAGTGAATTAAAAGTAACATCTGTAGCTTAGTTGCATTGTATCAATTTCCTAGGTTTGATCATTCTACTATCATTGGATCATAGGTGTTATCATTGTAGAACATTGGGTGAAGTGTACAAGAGAACTCCGCAATATTTTTACAATTTCTATGTGAGTCAAAAATTATTTCAAAATAAAAAGTAAGCATGTGAAACAGCCAGATTTAGAAACATTGCCGATTGGAGTGTAAATGGTCAACCACTTTAGCAGTTTCTCATAAAATTAAACATACATCTACCAAAACCCAATGATTCTACTTCTAAGCATTTATCCAAAGGAAAGGAAAACATGCCCACAAAAAGACTTGTAGAAAATGGTCATAGCAGTTTATTAGTAATAGCAATTAACTAGAGAAAATGTCCACAAATGACAGATTGAAATAAATTGTGCTATACATATACAATGGAATATCTATCAGTCCGTTATAAAATGAACAGAGCCACCGCTACTCATAGCAACATGGATAGAACTCAATAACAATGCTAGCAAGATTCCAGATACAAAACATACTGTTTGATTTCATTTACATGAAATTCTAAATTAGGCAAACTGATTCATAGTGAAATAAGGCAGAACAATGGTTACCTCTGTGAGCTGGGAATTTGGGGGGTAGAAGAGATTTTGATGGAGTGAAGGAAATATTCTATAGCTTGATAGGGGTATGGCTTATAAGTGTAGTTTTCAAACTCTCCAAACTCTATACTTTTGACCAACTTATTACAGTGTATAATTATACTTTAATAAAAAATAAAGTACAAAAATTAATCAAACAGAAATAAAAACAAAGCTATAAATGTGGAAATCCAATGTTGACTATTTTTGATGAGCTGAAAAATAGACCAATATTTGATAATGTTTATAATAAAAAAATTAGAAAATACTTAATATAGTAGGCTGAATAATGACCCTCAAAGATTTCCATGTCATAATCCCTGGAATGTGTGACTTATCTTATATGGCAAAAGGAACTTTGCAGATGTGATTATTTAAGGATTTTGAGTTGGGGAGATTATTCTGGAGTAGGGTCCAATGAAATTAGAAGGATGCTTACAAGATGAAGACAGTAGAATCAGAGGAGAAAACGTGATGTGATAACAGAACCAGAGGGAGAAAAGGCCATGTGATGTGGGAATTAAGACAGGCTCTAGAAGCTGGAAAAGGCAAGACAACAGATTATTCCCTGCAGCCTTCAGAGAAAATTTAGACCAGCTGGCACCTTGATTTTAGCCCAGTGAAACTGATTTTGGACTTCTTAGCTTCAGAATTGTGAGAGGATAAATATGTACTGTGTTAAGCCACCAAGTTTGTGGTAATTTGTCAGAAAACTAATACAAAGAATAATAATAAAGAAAGTACACATATCTAGAGATACAGTAGAAATTAAAATTTTATTAAGAAAAAGTTATTAACACTTCAACCAATAAATTTTAAAACCTTTATGGAAAGGAACAATTTAATAGAAAAATATATATTACTAAAAGTTACTTAAGAAAAAATAGAAAAACTAAATAGATATATAATCATAAAGTAATTTGATAATTAGAAATAAAAATTCCTAGAGAATTAGTAATAGAAGGGGACTTTTTAACCTGTATGTGTGCCTCACTACAAAATTAAAATAAGATATATACATGAACCATGTAACCAAAAAATGAGAGGAAATATTAGCAAAGCACATATTTGATAAGGGGTTAATATTCAAAATATATAAAGAACTCAGAACTTAATAGAAAAAAAAGACATATAAATGGTCAACAGGTACATGAAAAGGTATCTCAAAAAGATATCTGCACCACCATGTGTATTAGACTATTATTTACAATAGCCAAGATATAGAAACAACCTATGTGTCTACTGATGGATGAATGAATGGATAAAGAAAATGTGGTGCATGTATACAATGGAATATTATTCAGCCATAAAGAAAAAGAAAACCCTGCCATTTTTGACAATGTGGATGGCCCTTGAGGGCATTACGCTAAATGAAGTAAGTCAAACAGATAAAGACAAATACTGTATGATCTCACTTCTATGTGAACCTAAAAAGGAAACAAACCCCAAAACTCATATGTATAGAGAACAAACTGGTAGTTACCAGAGGCAAGGCATGGGTAGCTGGGCGAAATAGGTGAAGGTGGTAAAAAAGTACAAACTTCCAGTTATAAATAAGTCCTGGAGATGTAAAGCACAGCGTGGTGATGATAGTTTTAAAATTATATACATGTATAAAGTCCCCTGGCTCTCAAAGTCTGTTTTGCTTCCTTTTTTGGGTAGTTTTAAAAGTTGGATAAGAAATTTGGAATAGTAGGTATATCTGGTTGGGGTAGCTTCATTGGGTTGAAATATATAGCATGAAAATGTAATGCCTAGGTTGGAATGTGTGGTCAGCATCAGAGGATAGCCATTATCAAGGATGTAAGAGTTAGAAAGAATAGAAAAGGTCTGGGAACCTTAACAGTGACTCTGTGGCTTCACAAGGTATGGAGGATTTCTGTAAAGAAACCAAGAACAATATGAGGCTAGTTTACCATAGAATCACTCAATGATTCTCATTTGGGTTTCTTTAGGAGGTGATCAAACAAAAATAACATTCTTTTAACTTGATGATTTGACATAAACTCCTTCACTAGATGAATTTTCAGGATAAAGTGGAGAAGAATCTTTTTTCCTTCAATGTCCAGAGAGAAAAATATTTTTATTCTGGAAAAACATTTATACCATTAGTAGTTTTGAATATTTTCACTGATAGAACAGCATTTTGGGACAGATTTTGTCTTCATGATAACTATAATAAGGACTGTAGAATTGCACCAAACAATGTACATGCATTCATGGCAACAACATGGCCATATACTTGACTTTAGAAGATCCATGAACTTTTCTATTTCAAGAACTTCTAATAAACTAAGCATAGAGTTACATTACAAATAAATATGATTTCACTGCTGTTGCAATATGGTATTTCAATGCACATTGGAGGGATTATAGGAGTTAGAAACCTATTTTGATATCATTTGTCTGAGTAACACTTGTTGTAGTAAAGTTACCAGTTTTCCTAGCTTAGGAAGGAAAGGAAGTGCTGACTTGTTTGTCTCTTGTAGGGAAGTCAAGGATTGCTGAGTACATTTCACCTTAGAACCAGGTTGGATACAACAGGGCAATCAAAGCGTGAATGAATATTTGTAATTACAGCCATGCTTATCAATAAATTTGTTTCAGATAAGCACCTCAGGTCTTATCAGATATTAATTTACTATACTTTGACATTTTAAGTATTTTGACTTTAGTATCAATAAACTGGCACTGTTTAGAGACCTTGTCAGTACTTTCTTTTCTAGTTGTCTATTTGCCTTTTGGTTCTTTTAGATGAATTCATCCATTAAAACAATAAAACCAAATGGAAGATTTGACAGCTACATTCCACATCGTCATGTATCAGCTGACAAGACTTCAGCCACCAACTTCTGTGGTGTGGATATGTACTAAGTGCTTGCAGCCTATAGCTATCGCATCCTGTAGGAGTCGATTATAGCATTATGTCACTGAGAGATCTGGCATGCTCATCTTGACTTTATTTTACAAATAAAATAAAATACCCAGCCATGGAATTTAACAAGTGAGACTGAACACTTTGGACCAATGGAATAGAAAATATGATATCAGGACAATTCTAGGGCACACGAACTTGCAAGTACATTTCTACTTGTAGAGACATTAGGACTGAATATCCTGATCCTCTTCAGAGTCCTACAATCCAATAAAGAAGAAGAAGAACTTTGGGTAGGGTTGCCTTTTAGCCCTGGCTGATTTTGCTCAGTGGTTAGAGCATTGGCTCATGGACAGAAGGGTCTTGGGTTCGATTCCAGTAAAGGGCACGTACCTTGGTTGCAGCCTTGATCCCTGGCCCCAGTCTGGGCACATGCAGGAGGCAACCAATGGATGTGTCTCTCTCACATTGATGTTTCTCTCTCTCTCCCTTCCACTCTCTCTGAAAAAAACAATGGAAAAAAATATCCTCAGGTGAGGATTAAAAATTTTTTTTAAAAGGATTGACTTTCATCAAGAAACCCAAAGATCTATGAGGTTTTAAAAAAAAATTTCATTGACTTCTTGTTGGAGAAAAGTAACTACAGGCTAAGTAAGTGACCAGTAAGTAGATTGATTACAAGGAAGGTTCATAGCCTATAATAAAATATATTTTAAATGGGCCTCCAAAATTATTCTTCTGAAAATGATCAATGTATGTCACTGGTACAATCTTCAGTTCAGCTCAGCTCCAACGTTAAATAATAAGTGCTTTTTCCATGCCCTTTTTCAGGTACTGCCTAAATTACCAGTGAAAGACAAGTAGACAAAATAAAGGCTTTTAGTGAGCCAGACTCTGTTCTCATCTGTGACTAGATCATGTGGTCAATGAACATAAGAAACCCTATTTCCTGTTTGGGGGAGCAGCATCAGAACCCTGGAACTATGTATAAACGTGCTGTAGGCACTCAGAGCCACCAAGCTCACAGCTTGAGGCAGAACCAGACACATTTGTGCAGGGGAATACGTGCCCCATGCTGCTCTCCAGCCTGCTGTGGGCATATGCGGCCTTCATCTTCTCTGGTAGGGGTGGTTCCAAACATGGGTAAGAATGTCCAGTATGAAAGGATGGCACACAGGCATGTGGTACTTCACATGGACTTGAGGAGGAAAGGAGTGGAGAAAAGCAAGCAGATTATGCTTTCAATTTGGTTTGGCTTTGAGCCCTAAATTACTCTAAATCTTACAGTATTTTATTCACTACATCAGCTCTGTTTTCTGATTTTCCCCCACAGGATCCAGCGTGGCCCAGAAAATTATTCAAGACCAGTCACCCATAGTCAAGCAAGAGGGGACAGCAGCCACCACCCTGAACTGTCGGTATGAAACAAGTCAGATCACCTACCATATTTTTTGGTATAAGCAGCTTACAAGTGGAAAGCTCATTTTTCTTATTCGTCAGTCTTCTTATGGCCAAAATACAAAGACTAGCCGCTATTCTACAAACTTCCAGGAAACAGCAAAATCCATCAATTTCACCATTTCAACCTTACAGCTAAAAGATTCAGGAAAATATTTCTGTGTTCTCTGGGAACTCACGGTGTTTAAAGTAATGGTAAAAGCTGAACAAAAACCCCAGAGCTCAGTAAGAGAGTCCCCCCACTGCAGAAGCCAAGCTGAAATGCACACCTGCAGATCCCAGACACATAATGGCAGTGGCCATGGTTGCTTAATCTGTGGTTTGGATCAGAAGACTTAATTCTAGGTAAAACCTCCCTCTATGTCATTTGGAAACAGGTGTCCAGTGTAACTTTCTTCTAATACATTCTCAGTCTTAAAAAGATGCTCACATCACAAATCTGGGTCTTGTTATCTGTAATCATCATGAAAATCATTTCCTTAACTCTTTCCTCTTAGGGGTTGAGTCAATTAGGGCACAATCAGAGACGAACCACCACGAGTGATGTAGAATAAGAAATTAGTTATAAGGATTAGATCTCATGCAATTGCTGGAGCTGGTGGAGGAGTCTATACAAAACTGTTGTGCTTGCCTCCGGTAATGAGGCTGAATTTACTATAAGTCAGCTAGAGTAACATTTGCGAAGGAAAGTTGAATGTGGTGAAAAGCATGGACGAACTGTGATTTGTAAGGATATACTAGAACTCATGACTACAAGTGGAAGCCGCAGAGACAAACTAAAACTTGCCTGTCTCTTGCCTCCTTCAATCTCATAGTTGTGAGTGACCTTCAGGAAAAGTGAGTGTCATTTGCCATCATGTTATATGCATACTTGGCCCAGGACAAATAGAGGCTGAAGGAGGAGATCTGGTGGGAGGTGGAGGAGTTGTTTGTCAACAATAAGATGAGCTGTCAGATCAGCAGCAACATGTGTGAATTACCACAGTGCCTGGAGCCCTGCACCAACTTACAGAACACAAAAAATATGGTTGCTGCATGATTACTATCTTAGAAATCTTGCACAAGTCTCTTAGATGGCCGACCCTGACCCATAACAATACAGGGAAGCAAATTCTGAAAAATATATTTTCAAATGGTTAATTGATTCAATACAAAGCAACCGCAGTGCCCTACAAAAACCAAGCTAATCCTCTTCTGCAAAGAAGACACAAAGTTCATTTATCCATCTTTCAGTGATGTACTCTCTTCTTTTGGCTCAGTTACACTCTCCCATTGATATCCTGTGGTTTAACTGCTGAGATATAAAGAGATACTGAATAAAATTAACTGTAATTTCTTATGCATGTAGATGAACAGAAGAGGGAAGGAAAAATAGTTAATAAATACATAAATATATTTGTACCAAAGTGAAAACAATTTTCATAACTATTCTAGTCTTTGTTTCTGCAAATGATTACATGATTGTAGCTGGTATTTATAACACCCTCTTCCATCACCCATTCCAAAATCTCTTTGCTCATAGCAAGCATCTCCACTCATTGCTATACTTGATTTTCTGTAAAATAAGCTCCTTATTCAGGGGCAATGCTATGTGGAATATCATAAATTGAATGAGGAATTCTGCAAGTCCACCACTATGGCTTTGGTAGAAGCATTGCCTGCTTCAAAGGCAAATCTATTTTCGGAGTGTCTGTTATGTGGGAAAAAAATCTTGCCAATATCCAGAGAAAATTAAAATGTGTTCTGTGAAACATCATTAAGAATGATGCCTGACTTTTCATCAGAAGCAATAGATATTATTCCCGAAATACTCCAAGCATGTTGCCGTATCGACACTTTCGCCCCTTGCCTTTGCCCTCTCTGCCTGTGCTGCTATACGCCCAAACATCTGCATGGTGTACCTCTGAAGCTCCTTTATGTCTTTACTCAAAGGTCACCACCTTGTGAAGCTCTATCTAAATCTCTATATTCCTTCCTTGAGAATCAGACTCGAGAGCATACTCCAAGTATCAAGAAACAAGTTCTTTCCTGAAGCACTGCCACCTGGTGTCCTGGTGAAATATTTTGTGATGCTTACATTGGCTTCCCTGCTGCCCTCCAGTGTTCATGGGTAAACTGTGGCAAAACCTAATCACACTAGGAGCTACTACTGCTGAATCAAATTCAATAACTTTCCCACTGCTGAATCAAATTCAATAACCTTCCCATTGCAGCAATTACGCAAGAGAGGATTCAGGAGGACTGGTTGGCTTTTGATACTTTACCCATCTGGATGTGAAAGTGATTGACTTCTAAATGACGAATATAATACATGGGATGACTGAGGCTGTAGAGTAATAGGATGTCTTGGAAATAAAGCTTTGCATTTTGCATGAAGTGGGAGCTTTTTTCACTGTTAAGTGAAATTGTGTTTATTGCCCTGTCTTTTATTGTAGTATAGAAATATCCTGAGAAGTGGGAGCAAGAGCCAATGATGGGGAAAAAAATAGAGCATTGTAGGGAACACTGCTTGATAGAATATACAATCCAATCTTTCAATATAACATTCAAATGCACTGATTTCCCATTAACAGTAAGAAACATGATAGCCCATGGATACTTAGGATAGTAAATGAAATATGTTACTCAATTACAAAATACACCTCAGAAAAACGTTGAGCTTTATCTTGCGGATAGGCCCCCCTGCAATTTCATTTCAGAGAGAGTATTTCAGTTCCTCAGTATTTTATACACTGCATGCATCTGGCTGAGCACCTAAGGTAGGGAAGTTCTAGTACTGGGTGATCTGCATGTGTATTCTCGTTTAACTTTTGTTGGAATTCTTCAAGGTTGGTTTCATTCTCCTTTATGGTGGCAGTGTAGCAAAGCGCTTGAGACCAGAGAATTGGGTGGGATTTCTTGACCTACCACTCACCAGTTGAGCGACCTTGGGTAAATTACTTGATAATTTTTATGATTCAATTTCTTCATCCCTACAAAGTGGGTATCAATACCACCCAGGGTTATTATAAAAAATAAATGAGATAATAAGTGCCAATGCTTAGCCCAGTGCCCAACAGAAAGACACTGGCTACTTACAGAAAAGAAAATTGACTGTAAGAGAGTTAAATACCTTGCCTGGTGTCACAGAATCGGGGTTAGAGTGAAGCCTTCCCTCCATACCCTATTTAGAACAGAGGCCTTTTCTCACCTCAAGAGTAACTATTTCAACACAGTACTATACTGTCTTTATAGTGCTTATCACTATTTAAAAATACCTTATTTTAAAAATCTATTTAATATTTTCTCCTCCCACTGACTTTTCTATCCCTTTCACTACTGCATGTTCTCTGTCTGAAAAATACCTAGCACACAGGATGTGCAATAGATATATATTTGTTGAATAAATATGCAACAGATAAAATTACTTTTAAAGTCCTTGCAATTCAAACACTAATATAAAACATTAAGCTGGACTAGTCTTTGTGTTATGTATTTAGCATTCTCAAGATTTTTACCCTGCAAGTCAATTAAGGTAAGATTTAATTTATACAATATACCTAGTGGTCACCTGGTTTGGCCTCTTTTTCAGGTAAAGTGGGTGACTATAGCCTTCAGGACTCTGCCCTACTAGTTGTAGGAATTCTCTCTCTGTTGGATGTATATCCTTCTTGTTCTGGACACTTCTCCTCCAATATGTAAGTTTATCAGCGGATCAGTGTTTTCATATACACAAGCTTCACAGCAAGCGGGTTTTCTGAATGGTGCAGTCATGCTCTTACTCTTCTATCACTGAATCATCTGAATGCTGTCATCTGGAGAAAACAGGAGCTTGACTTGGAATAGCATCTGTCTGTCTGGCAGCCCATCCCTAAGTCTAGCCCCTACACTTCTAAATTAGGAGACTTTAATGAGGCACTTTAGTATTTTATTAACCATAATTCCATCTCTTTTCTTGGGAAGGAAAACTAGAAGTTAACCGTTGAGACACCTTCCAATCCTGTTCCACTTTTCAGGACATGATTTAAGTTTCAGTATGTGGAAGGAAGTGTTCCTTAGTATTAGCACCAACCCCATGCTGTTTCCTTTGTTTATTTCAGTTGTTCACTGGAACGAAGGTATTAAAGTTGTTTTAGAACAGAAAGAGTTCTTCCACCGGTGCTGGCAGACCCAAACATTAAACGCTGAGAATTACAGTGGAGAAAAATTGGCTGTTTTATTATAAATGGTGCCATCCAGGAGAACAGGAAGCTAAAGCTCAAAAGCCTGAACTGCTGGATCCTGGATTGGGTGGGTTTTTAAGGTTACATGGGGAACAGGTGTGCAGAAGCATTGATAGAGCAGGTTTTAATTGGAGGAACTTGGAGCATAGCCATTTATGGTAAAGGGCCTCAACACAGGATCTTCCTGCACAATGGACCCTCTGCTTCGGAAAGGGTTCAATTGTTCAAGTTCTGATTATGTCCCAGTTTTTTGGTTGGGTGAT